TTAGAAGTAATTTAGCAATGGGTCAATTAAGAGTTTTGTTCTAAGGGTCGGGCTTGACCATTTTTGTCTCCAAATTGTCCTAATGATTTAATAAATTGCTAAACTTCCTCCATAGTTCAGGTTGTAGGTGAACAAGAATTGGGCTGATTATTATTAATCAAGACTTCACATCTGCTTATTCAAATTGGAATGATTATATTCCCTAAGTGCTCCAGGGAGGTGGAAAAGGGCAGGGATTGTAAATGGCTCTCCAAAGGGAAGTGATAATGTTAACCCATTATCATCTTTATTGGCTTTTGGGGGGAGGGTTTGACATAATTGTGAAAGCAGAGCTAAGAAGAGCTACTATGTTGAACTATAGTGCTGGTGGCCATGTTGGCTGGGAAATAGGGGAGTGGCTACTCTAAGAAAGTAGAGGTGCAGCTAGACACCTGAAAAAGCACGCCTCTAATCACACCAGAAAGAGTCGCTTTGCAGGGAGAAAAGGTAAAGGTAAAGGTTCCCCTTGACAATTTTTGTCCAGTCGTGTCCGACTCTAGGGGGCGGCGCTCATCCCACTCTTCAAGCCATAGAGCCAGCGTTTGTCCGAATCTCTAATCACACCAGAAGGAGTCGTTTTGCAGGGAGAGATCACCCTTAAAGCGATATTTTGTCTTCTAGCCTGGCCCAAAAAGAAGCAGCTCTACAGCTGGACCGAAAAAGACCAGCTTGAGCACAGATCAGGCTCCTGCTTGAGCACAGTTCCCTGTACATCATGTAATTGCTGGGAAATAGATTACAGCAGACCACTCAACAGGTGGTCCATAATACGATCTATTCCCCTGTGTGGTGAGACCTATGTTTTCTAAACCTTCTCTGAAAGTTAGACACCATTCAGACAGCCTCCCCAGCTGGTGTTCTGAAGCTGTGTTGGACTAAAATGCCTTCCATCCCAAACCAAAATCGGCCACGCTGGCTGAGGAATGGTGAGAGGCCTAGTCCATGACATTTGGAGGACAGTAGGTGTGTGTGTGTGGTGGGGGGTGGCAGTGATCTAAATGTTCATTTAAGCATCATGGGCTGAATCCAAGAAATAGCTTTCACTTTACTTTTACTTTTAATGGTTTTTTACCCCACCCCCAGACAAAGTCTACTTGGGGCGGCTTACATACTTAAAACATAGCAAAACAACATCCTAAAAACATTTAAAACGTCAAATTTTTAACAATTATATAAATCCTTGCCAAGATGGAGTGATTAAAAGAAAAAGTAAAGGTCAGTTTAATTGACTGGAGGGAAGGCCTGCCTGAAAAGCCATGTATTTAAATAGCTTTTAAAAACACCCAGCGAGGGTGCCAGACAAATTTCAGTGCTGGTTCTTAGGTCTGAAGCAAGTGAAAGGCAGGGATATTGGCAAGTCTGTGGGTTTGAGTCCCAAGTTTGTGACCGAGTCTTGGGTACTTAGTCCTGAGTCCCAAGCCCCAAGTCAGAGTCCTTATTTAAAACAAGCTTTTTTTCCCCCTCAGAAAACAAGGGAGGGGTGTGTGGGGTCGAGTCTGAGTCATTGGAAAAAAAATGGGAGTTGAGTCACCACTGGGACTTACGTCCAACTTGAAAGTGAATCCCGCAACTCAAGTCCCCATCCCTGGTGAAAAATCAATAGCCACCACTCCCCACTTCAGACACATCACCAGTTATGTAAAAGGTGTCCTGATCAGAGTGTCAGTGATACTTTTATGCAATTTGGAACTCCAGTGAAGGAGGACGAGACAACACTATCATATGATATGTTTCCAAATGCTGAAATCTGGCTCGCCTTCTAATGTTCTGGCCTCTTGACATCGCCAGCAACAAAAGCATAGATTCCAAAGAGTTTTGATTCCCATACTATCTGCTTTTAGAAAGTAAGCTGTGAAGCTGTGTTTTTCTGATATTTCTTCTCTGTCTTTCTCCCTTTCCTCTCCTCCTCTTCCTCCATTCTCTCTCTCTCCCTCCCTCCCTCTCTCTCTCTCTCTCTCTCTCTCTCACCCACTCACACACACACACACACACACACACACACACACACACACACACACACACACACACACACACACATTCATTGCTCTGTTTGATTGTGTAAACAGCAGGTAGAATTATTTGCCCAATAAAATACAGTCATTATCTTGTAACAAGAGCATCGTAGCACAGTTGGTGAATTCCACAGAAGCTGCAGCCCTATCCATTTTCTTTCTGTAGAGCTGTCAGGATATTTCCTGAGATACCAATCAGATCTTCTTGTAGACACTGAAATGTCTGGGTTCTGGTTTGGGGAGGAGGGGGGAAGGGGATGTGTCTGTCCCTCTTTTTGCCTTTTGTTAGAAAGAAGGGGGGGCATCTTTTCTGCATCTGTCAATTTTGTGTGTCTTTTTTTTTCTAGACAACTTGGCAGGGTTTGAGTAGCCTGCCCCTGGATTTGGGCGGATGAGAGGTGTCATTTGCTGTTCTGCCTCCGGCAGGGAAGAAATACACTTTGGATCAGAAAGGCAGAGCTTATTTTCAAAAAGCAGAGGTGTCAGGGTTCAAAACATTTTGGAAGCTGTGCCTTTGTTGCTGGTAATGTCAGAAGGCCAGAAATTTAGGAACAGGAGAAGGCTGAGCCACAACTAAGAACAGTCTGAAAATTATCCATTGCAGTCATGCAGTTATCACAGAAAGCCAATGTAGTGAAGTGGCTAGATTTGAAAAGGAGATATTTTAGGTTGTTTTCTTCTCCTTTCTTATTACAAAATGGACCAAAATCAAAAAAGAGAACATGCCATTTATCAGTATAGACCATGCTCCTCTCTACTCTGAAACGAAGTAACAGTAATAACAACATATGGATATATCTGTTTATACAGATATACAGTATCTGTTTATTCAACTGTCAGTGACCATAAATAACTAACACCATAGATTAGTTCCTGTTCTTCGCTCTACACAATAACATTCCTTCTAAAAAACAAAACAAAACAACTGATAAATGTGTGTTGAAAGACCATTTGTTCATGTAACAAATTAAGGGGAGACAAGTTTTCATAGATAAATCACTCTTTCTTAGCCCTTACTTGAATCTGCTTCGTAGTTCAGTTTTCTGGACAATACTATTTTTCATATGTTTAAACCCATATACTCTATGATGTGTTGTGCAATTGCTATGCAGTGACATTAATTGATATAGTGCCCTTCCATCTATTTGCCCCCTCACAATGGACAGCTTTTGTTACACTACAACATCCTGGTCCCTTAAGTATGTTTTCACAAAATGATGGCCCATTTGGCCAATCTGTTTTCCTTTTTTATTTAAAGAGGGCCAGTGAATTATAATATTAGATTACTAGCCATGGATTTAGGAGATCTGCTTTCAGGTCCCCATGGACCATGATATTTACCATATAGCCTTGGGCTATTCATTTTCTTCCAGCATTTTCCTACTTAATATATTTGTTGTAAAAACAAGGTGAAAAAGATTATCAGACCTTGGAAAAGTTATGTTTTTGGACAATAACTCCAAGAATCCTCAAGCAAACTCTAAAGGGGAGAGTTCAGTATACTCCCCTGAGTTGACTGGGGGAAAAGTGGGATATAAATGTAAATAATAAATAAATTACCACTGCTTCTTCTAGTGGCAGGACATGGTGTGGGTTGTATTCCAGCAAATCTGGTTGCAGGATAATGATGGATCCTTGCTCTCAGACCCAGTACCATCTTTCCCCGAAAATAAGATAGGGTCTTATATTAATTTTTGCTCCAAAAACGCATCAGGGCTTATTTTCAGGGGATGCTTTTTTTCCATGTCCAACAATTTACATGTATTCAAATACAGTCAGGTCATCTGGCTGCTGCACAATGCAGCACAATGGTGGAGGGCGGGGTTTCACTTAACTGGGGTTTATTTTGGGGGTAAAGCTTTTATTATGAGCATCCTGAAAACGCATTGTTCTTGTCGTTTAGTCATGTCTGACTCTTTGTGGCATTGTTCTTGTCGTTTAGTCGTGTCTGTCTCTTCATGACCCCATGGACCAGAAAGCCTTCGCGAATACATTGTAAATTAGATTGCTTTTATTTAGCCTTCGCAAATACATTGTAAATTAGATTGCTTTTATTTTTCTTATGTTGCTTTGTTTGCTATCTACCCACCCAGCAAAAGCACATTTCATGCAGTGGACTTGATCTAAATGTTGACTGTGCAAAGATGGCAGTTTGGATGGACAATGTTTTGTCACCTTTGGCTTGTCCTAGCATTGCACCCAAGTGATTACTTGAGAAAGACTTAGAGTGAAGGTGGGGAAGGAATCACAAGCTGAATGTGAGGCAACAGTGCACTGTGGCTGTGAAAAAGGCAAATGCTGTTTTAGGATGCATTAACAGAAGTATAGTCTCCAATCCCCGGAGGTACTAGTCCTCCTCTATGCAGCATTGGTTAGGCCTCATGTAGAGTACTGTGCCCAGTTCTAGGCAATGCATTTTAAGAAGAATGCCAAGAAACTGGACCAAATTCAGAGGAGGACAGCAAGGAGGAACATTGGATTAGAAACCAACCCCTATGAGGAAGACTAAAAGAACTGGGTATGTTTAGCTTTGAGAATAGAAGACTGAGGAGACATATGACAGTACTTTTCAAATACTTGAAAGATAGTCATACAGAGGATGATCAGGATCTGTTCTTGACCATCCCAGAGTATAAGTAATAATGGGCTTAAGCTACAGGAAACCAGATTTAGGCTGAATACTGTATCAGGAAAAACTTCTTAATTGTTAGAACAGTATCACAATGGAACCAATTACCTCGGGAGGTGGTGAGTGCTCCCATGCCGGAGGAAGTCAAGAGAAAATTGGACAACCATCTGTTGGATCTGCTTTGATTTGGGTTCCTGCATTGAGCAGGGGGTTTGACTTGATGGCCTCATAAACCCCTTCCACCTCTATGATTCTATGACTATAGATGACTTTTTTTTACCCCTTTGCCTTCACAATGTTGGCTTCTCTTTCTCGTCTAGGTTATTTTCTTCTGTATCAACCTTGCTGCTGCTTCCATTCAGGATGAACACTGTGAGAATCTGTCTTCTGCTGCCAACATCACAGGTAAGAGGATTCTTGTGAATTGACTCTGTCCTAATTGAGACTGGTGGCTCCAGATTTCAGAGGCTGTTGAATTTGCTACAGGAGCTATCCAAGATCCCCCAAAAGAAATCCAGCATCTTGACAGATCCTCAAGCATTCGATTAAAACCTGGATAAAAGAAACTGCTAAAAATAATTTTTCTTCGTTGCGAAACAACAGGGTTGTGGTGTTGATGTTGATAGTGGCTATGCTGCTCTTATTGTCAGTCTCAGAGGATTTTGTGCATTTCTGAGAAATGTTGTTGCATGTTTCTGTACAATACACAGGTGTCTCAATCCAGATGCCAGTCCCAGCTAGAAGAGGCTCATAGAATCAGTTGCTGGATGATGTGTCACTATTTATGTAAATCCCATTCAAATTGACTTAGTGGATTGATTCCATTTTGAACTAGCTGTTTGATTTAGGTTTCTGTCTCTCACAGATCACCATGCTGTCTATTGCTGGGGTAAAATATATGCAAAAGCAAAGGTCTAGGCTAACTTCTGCATTTTCACAATAGAGTTTGTACCCATGAGATGGGTTATTGTACAAATTATGTTTTGATTGCTCGATAGTGACCAAGAAGTTCTTCCTGTCCCGTTTAAGTGATCATAGCAAATGAGAGAACAAGCAAAAATGACACTTTGCACCAACAAAGTGACATTAGTAAAATTAGTATATGCAAATTTAATGCAAATATATTTTTCTGATTATGAATTTCATCTTTGGGATAGATGCACAATTGTCTTCTATAGCATTGCTACTGCTTTCTGCCATCAGAAAGTTCTACCTCCTTCTCCCAGGGTGTACATGCACACATTTGTGTGAACACACACACACACAATTTCCAGGAGTGGTGGAGATGGTGAGGAACCCAGAGGGTTTATAAAATCTCTCCCCGCTGCTTTATAAAATCTCTCCCCACTTCTAAGACAGAGCAATGCTGGTTATACCGCTTTCTACCAAGACTCTACACTGTCATCCATCAATTTATACTAATTAACTTTTAAGATAGTTTCCTCCTTAATTAACAGGCAGTTGCCAGAGTGTGTAAATTAAATTTGCTAAGGCATTAAATCATGCCAAGCAAATTTACAAGCACGTAAACATGAAGGAATTCTGATTTGGGTCATGTGGGTTCAGGGAGCCTGAGAGTAGCTGTTGGAGCACAGATTAGACAGGAAACAAGAGTAAGAAGGTCTCAACCTGTTGTTGGCCAGTTGCCCTGCAGCAGCCTAAACATGTGTCTTAATTACTGATTTTTGTCACAGGTGTGTCAGCATCAGGGAATACCATTGCAATGGCTAAATATGTCCCTCAGTAAGGTGGTGGCAGGGGAGTAGTGCTGCTGCAGAGCACTGTGGGTAATTATGATGGCAGCTGTCAGTGGAGCCTTAGAAGAGGGAGCCCAGCATTGCAGCATCATTGGTGATGTGACCTCAGCAGCTGTTTGAGGATACTATGTGTTGATAATGGGCTTGAGTGAACCTATGTGTGTGTACACGTGTGCACAAGGAAGGGTGAGAGAGTGCGAAGGAGAGTATGAAGAGGTATGAGGCAGAGCATATCAGAGAATGAAGGCTAGCTCTACTGTTGGGCAGACTGTGGTGGCTGCTGCAGGTAAATCTTGGATTTTAGGAAAACGTGGCAAGTGGTTAGTTAGCCATTCCATTATTGTTGTATTTGTCGTGTCATGGGTGGGAGTGTTCCTTGTTGAAATGTTTTCCTCAAAACCATGTGGCTAGCCTTGGGTTCTATGCACCTTGAATTGGATGGATGGATTGTGGCAAATGTATGTGTTGGGGGTGTGTGTCTTTTTCTTTTTTCCTTCTTCCTCAGGTTTATTTTTTTTATTTTTTTATTTTTTGGCTACTACTCCCAGACCCCACAAGCAGCAGGCTAGGATCAGGACCCTGCTATAAGGCAGAGTGTTATAGATGCCACAAGGCAGCACTGAAGCCTTTCCCTAGTTGTTCCTCTTGACGTTCTGGTGATTCCTTTCCCTTGGAGGACAGAGTTGGGTGTCACACCCAGCTTGTCCTGCACCCCCTAAGCTGACCTGGCACTTTCAGGATGGGGTGGAGGGCCCTGCCCCATTGCCAGTGTTCAAAAAGAGTTCAAATACCAGTCAATTCATGGAATGGTTCGGGGTAGAGGGGGTATGGCTTTGTTCTTGTACCTCAGGGAGCAAAATGTTTTGGACCAGCCCTGTAGCAGAGGTGTTTTGGGGAATTATATTTCAAATAAGTAACTTTTCTAAGCTCTTGTTCCACCTCAGACTGGCTTGGATGAGTGACAGTGAAGCTTCTACACAATCTACCCTCTTCTGACACTGTTCTTGGTAGCTTTTTTTTTGTCCTGCCTCTTTCCTTTGCCCTGATCCCTCACCCTTGGTGTCCTTGAAACCAGTGCATTTGTTTCTTCACTAGGTGTGCAGATTTGTGCTTTTGGACGACAATTCTCAAAATTCTGCAGGCAGAAGAGCTATCTAGGGAATTCTGGATAATATAATGCGAAGAACCCAAAAAAGCACACACCTCTATTCTTCAGTTCTTTTGAAGCTTGCAAAGGGGTGCTCTGATTTCATATAAGGTGCTTGTTTTTTGGACTGACTTGGTGAGTGAGGCAGCCACTGAGCTGTCATGCCCTTCTGCTGATATTGGCTTGGCTGCCCCAGGATCTGATGCTATCATAAAGAGCTTTGAGCAACACACATTTCATTGGCTGGCACCACCATGTTAGTGTGTTGTAGGAGCCAACGATCAAGGAGTCCTATAGCACCCTGAATATTAATTTATTTAATCTGGCATAAGCTTTTGTGGAATGATGAAACTGATGGCAGTCCATAAAAGCTTATGTTAAATTAAATTGTGTCAATTTTAAGATGTCACAAGACTCTTGTTGGTTTTGCTGCATAGATTAATGTGGCACACATATGCACACTCCACTGTGAAATCTGTGTGGATGGTAGCCAAACAATCCATTACAGATAGAAGCCAAAAGACATTATTATCCCAGAGATGTGATTTAGGCAGACCTTCATGACTGAGCAATCATACTTGCAAATTAAGCCTCTTTATGTCTCCTAATCATCAATATAATTTACATAGCAAACCCAAAGTAATATAATTTCATTTGACTTTAATTTGACCCCAATTGGCTGAACGTAGTGAGTTTAACTAAACTTTCACTCCAATTCCCAGATAGAGGACTCTGTGGTGTTTTTTGTGTTCCCTTGTTCCCCAGACAAATACTGTAGAAACATGCAGTTTTAAACAAAAGCCAAAGGGGAAGATATATACATAATGCTTGAGTTTCTATGAAGAATTGGGGTGTGATATCCAATCAGCAGCTTCCTCACCTGTAACTTTAAAACCAGAACTCCAGTGCAGCCTGCATCTTTCCTAACGCACATCTAAGGGGAATAAAAGACAAAATCCATTTGCCATGAACTGAACTTTTGAGACTCTAGGTTATTTCCACTAACGACAAGATATCAGTGCATGCCTGATGAAGTGGGCATCCTGATCCATGAAAGCCAACAGACAATATGATTTCTTAAGCCGTCTGTTCATGCATTTGCATTGTGTAGTGACCACACAGCGCTCTTTCATTTCATTGGAAACCACAGGTATTGTGAAATGCTTCTTCTGTGACAGTTAAATATTCTCAGCACTTCAGGAATTCTCTTCTCTAATAATTGGCTTTGTACAATGAGAATTCTCTTAGTTGGCTTTTAAAAGGCATGTTGTGATGAAAATGGATTCTACATTCTAGAGTATCCAGATGGATTCCTCATTCCAAGAATTCTAGTATCTCCGTTCATTATACATTTCAGAAGTTCCGTGAGCAAGACTTGAAGGAACTGAAAAGAACAGGCTCTCAAATAAATAGCTCCTCTTCAGTGGGTATTTTTTCAAAACTCCCCACACCACAAAGAGACAGACATCCCTAGTTGCCCTTAAACAAAGGATTTTTTAAAAGTGTAGGGTTAGTGGTAGGAAGTGTTTTCAAGCAAATTTTCCTAAGCTCATATTTGCTTGTCAATAAAATTTAGAACAATACAATTTCTTCTAAATAGTATTTTTCTAAATCCTCCCTGAAACTGAATTCTTGGAGGGCCTATGAAGGAAAATTGGATGTAGTAACTTGATTCTTAACATTACTGCTTTCTAAAATTAATCAGAATAGATTTAAGATTACTCTGAACAGATGCAGAATGCATGCTAAAATCGAAACATTTCAAAATTGTGAGAGTTTGACGTTGAGTAAGCTGTCTGTAGCTGGGTTATGATGCTGGATTTTCAATTTATGAACATTCTCATTTGACAGTGTTTCAAAGCACTGTGATCTATATTCTTCCATGTTCAGCATGGCTATAAGTGGTTTTCAATTTATTTTTGAAAAGAGGAAATGTAACCTTTTAGTAGGGGAATACTCATAATGTAAACGTTTGTGCTTTTTTCCCTTTCTGCACTGGGGGAGGTAATTGGCCAGTGTAGTGTAGTGGTGATTAAAGTGTCCAAATCAAAGAACTACATTCAAATCCTAGACAAGAAACTTACCATGAGCCACTCAGTATCTCTGAGCCTAGCCTATCTCATGATTTTCAGAAAGGTAGACATCTGAGCCTGTTTCAGCTACAACACGAACAAAGACGGAAACGTGTTTGAAAAAGTGGATTATAATCCATGAAAGCTCACATTGAAATAAGTATGTTAGTTAAAAAGGTGCCATAGTACATTTGGTTTGGTTTGGATTTTGTTGTTGCTACTTCACAGTGTTGCGAGGGTAAAAAGCCTTGTATGCTGTCTTGAGCTCTTTGGCTGAACAATAGGATATAATACTGGTTGGTTGGTCAGTCGGTTGGTAGGATGGTTGGTTGATCAGTCGGTCAGTTGGTTGGGGGATCAATAAGCTGCTGCTCATTATATGATCTCAGGGTACCCACAAATATATAATAAAATCCAGTTATAAAACAATCAAGAGCTATCTGTAAGGGGCCACAACATTTTTGTCTTTTGTCTTTTTTTATTATTATTATTTTGTTTTTGCCTGATCTGCTTGTGCAGACTAACATGGCTTCGTCTTCTTAAAATGGATGAATAAATAGGTTCAGCACTTCAGATCAGAAGAACAATCTGAAGTGTGAACAAGCCTGCTAGGAACAGTCTTGTTATGAGGAGGATTCAGAAAACAAAGACAATAAAATAAGTGACATCTTCTGTGAAACTAGCCAAAAATGGACATCTGGCTGCTGTAATTAAGACACACAAGATACTTCCTCCCTCTTCTACCTTTCTTCAACCTTTCTCCTTTCCTTTATGCGCTGATGTTTAATCTTTCAAAATCTACAAGGAAAGATTCAGCACAGGATCACCCACTCTTTTGCTTTATAATGATTAAATTGGCACTCTGTTGCTTACTTTCTTCTCGTTTAACTCAGGACACTTTCCCAAACGTGCTCTGTCTTCCAAGAACCCCTGTGCCCAGCCATCTGTTTGGCAGGTAGATGGCCAGAAATGCACGCATCATAAACAACTCTGCACATACACACATCTGCAGATGGAGTTGGATGGATTATTTTTGCCTGCATGTGTAACTCTGTTCTGCCTGTTCTCCTCACTCCCACTTTAATGCCTGGCAACAGATAGGACTTCTCTTGCCATGGAGGTGAAATCCAGGGAGGGTTTAAAAAAAAGAGGGAGTGAATTCTTTCTGCATTTGTTTACAGAGTTCTTGCTTAAATTTTGAGACATATAAAGACCAGTTTTATATGAAGGAAAGAGCCCCAGAATACCAGACTTTTTTTTCTGGGGATCTGAGAGTGTAATCAGACAAGCATTTGCCCTGCTGTTTGGTCCCTCGCAGGGACAGGCTGGTTTATGCCTTTTTCCAGCAATTAAATTATGTACCTTTCTGAGTCCCTGACATGGGCTATTTCTTTTTTGGTGGAGGTAGGATCACTTCATTTTGGTTCGTTTTCAACACGTGCTCACTGGGATCAAACCAAAGCAAGCTTTCTTCCTTAATTTCCCAGCTGGTTTCAATATACCCACATCATTAGAGGATTAAACAGATTTCTTTAACCACTTAATGATATAGGGAAATTGGGGGGACTAATCTGGGAAAACCTCCTTTCTTTACTCTACTTACGAAACAGAGGGATGAATAAAAAAAATTAACAAAATGAATTAGGGCACCCTTGATGCACTGCACCACTTAGAGAACATTTTTAAAAATTGAAATCTTCCTCCCAAAAACAGGAGGAGACAGGAGAGAGCAAGAAATGAAACTTTTGCCTCCTCTCTTTGCTTTCTAAAAGGAGCCAGACCAAATAGGGTCCCTTGAGATGTGTGTGCCATTTAGATGCAAGGATTGTACCAAATGACACACTGGGCACTCTCCCCTGCCCTTAAGCACCCATACAGTGGGGTCTTGACTTGTGACATGGGCTACTCCTTTTTTGGTGGAGGTAGGATCACTTCATTTTGGTTCGTTTTCAACACGTGCTCACTGGGATCAAACCAAAGCAAGCTTTCTTCCTTAATTTCCCAGCTGGTTTCAATATACCCACATCATTAGAGGATTAAACAGATTTCTTAACCACTTTATGATATAGGGAAATTGGGGGACTAATCTGGGAAAACTTCCTTTCTTTACTTACGAAAAAGAGGGATGAATAAAAAAAATTAACAAAATTAACCACTTAATGATATAGGGAAATTGGGGGGACTAATCTGGGAAAACCTCCTTTCTTTACTCTACTTACGAAACAGAGGGATGAATAAAAAAAATTAACAAAATGAATTAGGGCACCCTTGATGCACTGCACCACTTAGAGAACATTTTTAAAAATTGAAATCTTCCTCCCAAAAACAGGAGGAGACAGGAGAGAGCAAGAAATGAAACTTTTGCCTCCTCTCTTTGCTTTCTAAAAGGAGCCAGACCAAATAGGGTCCCTTGAGATGTGTGTGCCATTTAGATGCAAGGATTGTACCAAATGACACACTGGACCTCTCCGCTGCCCTTAAGCACCCATATTTAGTCCACTCCAGCCTGCGGCAATTGATCTTGTGCAGAGACACCCTGAGGTTGAAGAAAGGACATCTACCTGAACAGCACCACCATTTTTCACTTTATATACAAGAGTGCATGAAAATCTCAGTTGAAAACTGCTGACCCTACGTAACCTGGCCAATATGGCATATTCTCTACTATGGGAACTCTTCAGTTCTTCTTAGCATGGCAGGCAAGTCAAAATGTTCTTAACTCGAGCCGTTCTTAAGTCAAGACCCCACTGTATTTAATCCACTCCAGCCTGCTGCAATTGATCTTGTGCAGAGACGCCCTGAGGTTGAAGAAAGGACATCTACCTGAACAGCACCACCATTTTTCACTTTATATACAAGAGTGCATGAAAATCTCAGTTGAAAACTGCTGAACCTACGTAACCTGGCCAATATGGCATATTCTCTACTATGGGAACTCTTCAGTTCTTCTTAGTATGGCAGGCGTGAGGGTGCTCAAGGAGACATAAAGGCTAGCAAGGAGACATTTGGGACCAAGGGTTTGGGAGCAGGGCAGCCCAGGATATTTTGCTACCTGAGATGAGTAATAAGATGAATAACAAGATGCCATTCCATGTGCAAAAGGCAAGAGGACCAGAGCATGAAAAGGTTTCCTTCTGTTGTGTGTTTGTGGGAGGGGGCAATGTAATGTCTGTAATTCTCATTGGCTGCACTCCTTGAGGGATCCTGGAAATTGTAAACACACCAAAAATATTCCCAGCTCTCAGCAGGACTGGCAATTAATCCTTCTGCAACACTGTCTTCCCTGTCACTTTAAACGGCTTAGCGCTAGCTTAGTGGATCGTATGCAGGCTTCCTGGCACACATTCCCCTCTGTTTGCCCACTGCCAGCTCCCTGGAACTGCTGTCTCAAGCGTTAGCCACACTTTCCCTCATGGTAGGAATACCCCTGCCTTGAAGACCTGTTAGTGATAGGATCTGTTGGAGGTCACTCATTCATAGGGTTATCGTAAGACCGAAGTGAACTGATAGTACATTTCAACTGCATGCGCTCCCGTGCTCGCCATCATGCAGACCGATTTCACAAAGAGAAGGGTCTGACTCAGCGTGACTCTTATGTTCTTAAACAAGGTCGGACAAAGTGCAGTCTGTGGGCAAAGTGCACTCCCAGGGTGCAAACGTGCCCCTAGCACTCATGGTCCAGCAGCATCTTATACTCCTTTTTTAAAATAATTAAAGCTCGCAATGCTGCCTTATGCCTTTTAAGGCTTGTAGGAGGCCTTTTTGCCATCCTCCCTCAAAAAGATGGCAACTTTTAAAAATGTGGTCACTAGATATGATGAGAGAGCCTTTTCTTATTTTTTAAAGAAAAGAAGGGGAGGAGTAGAAACTTATAGAGGTTGCCCCATTAAGGGATCCTCGCCTGGACCAATAAACCTAAACCTACCTGCTTTAGCTGTCCCATGTCCTTGTACTGAGAGTAGGGACAGGGAAAGAAATTCAGCAGATGGATCTGGATACTCAAATACCACGTGTGTAAATTCCACCTCTTCTGGATTAAGGTGGCGTCTTGGCAATTTAGGAAATCACAATTGTATTTAGCGCAGGCAAAATGTGATCCTGCCTGATTTGAAATATTTCTGCCTCCTTTTGACAGTTGCTGGAAATCAACAAATGTTATAGCTTCTCTCTTTTTTTTAACCCTGTTTCTCAGAATTGGATTAAAGTTGCTGGTATGGTTGCAATTATATTTTAAATGTCAGAGAAATAGGAGCAGAGAATTAGGGGCTCTGCTCTGCTAGATTTTGTTATTTTAAAGAAGGGAAGTGCTGATGGCTTTCTTTTATTTCTTGGAAGAACTGAACAAAAACACAAGGATAGTCGCCCCTTCAGAGGAGTTCACGTGTGCTGGGTCTCAGATGGGTGTTATGAAAGTTTCAGTAAGAGCCGTCTTTACTGTTGGGGTAATGGATGTGAAGCACAGAGCATCCTTTAAAGTTTGAATGTGAGGGATGCAGTGGCAGAAGAACTTAAACATTCACCATTCCATAAGTAGACATGCAATGTTACTCTTTCCTAGGTCTCACAAATGCCATCAAAGCAGCCTTGACATTTTTCCAGTTCTTAGGATGAAGACCTAGCAAAGAACACTGAATAATTGGATAAGTCCTTCCATGTATTATTTTAACACTCAAGATAAAAGCTTTGGGGTTGGACAGCAAAACCATTCCCTGCAACTGGAAGATAAAACTACCAGTCCCAAAACTGCAGTCTTATGCTTCCTTTCCATCTCTCCACCCTGCTATTTTACTTGTAAATAGAGTTTAAAGAGAGCTGTATAAATTTTGGAGACATCCTGGCCAAAATCCTGTTGTAGTGCAATAACTCACACTAGAGTGGGACCTTTCAATCAGTGGAAACTTCATGAGTCAACTCTTCCTCCATAAGTTCAATTGATTTAAATGGGCTTACTCTGTGTCTTACTTTAGCATAGTAAGTGACAGCTAGAGTAGGCCTATTTAAATCAGTGGAGCTTATGGATGACTTGACTCATGAAGTTCCCATTGATTCAGTGGATCTACTCTATTGCAATTTATTACACTAACCAACAGGACCTTGGCCACTGTGTCGCCATGTCGCCCTGAATTGATATTGCTGAATCTCCCTTTTCTAGAAGTGTTCAGAACCAGATTTGATGTGCTTTGGAGGAGCGATGCTTCAGTTCAAGAGCATGTACAGTATAATTATTTAAATTTACAGCATCTCTAAATCATTCCACATTGGTTTATGATTCTAAAGCACAGCCTGTGTAGTCAGAAGGAAATTAAATACAGAAAGTAGTGACAGTGACATTTACTTCATTGCTCATTCAAAAAAGCAGGGCAGTAATACAAACAGGGCAGTAATTAAGCCAATTAACACATGTAGTGTGATAAGGACCCATTATCCTGTCTTAAACCTCCAGTGACAGACAGAGCTTCCTAATCAATTGTAATGCAGTAGCCTCTCGCTCTAATCTCCTTTTTCTTTTCTTTTCTTTTCTTTTCTTTTCTTTTCTTTTTGGGGAGTCCACAATAGCTGCTTTAAGATCAGTGAAAGAGTATCCCCTAAAGTTGAAACATTCTCCCAGGTGATTTTGAATACAGTACTGCTGTTTCTGATACAGTATTGGATTTTTGTTGTTTACACACCTATAGACCAAAATGGTCCTACTTCAAGACAGAGATGGAGTGGAGCAGAAAACACTGGCAGGTATTGCGGGGTAGACTTGTGCGGACCACACAGCCAGTCCTGTGCTGGAAGAGAGCGCCCCCACATTTAGCAAGTGATCTGAACTAATTGGAGCAGTAATAATAGGTAAAAAAGATAGCCAAGTGTATTATATCCTGTTATCTTTTTAATATTACATATAGATTGGTACTCTTATGCTTCCTTCCTCCTTTTTTCTCTGAGGTCATCTCTTGCTCCTTCCTGTTCTTCCCCTTTGTTATGAAAGGGGCTGCCAACAGACTAGCAGGCCTACAAGCCAGAGTGCTAGGAGTGACTGCAATTCACATTAGTAATTCTTTGCTGTCCTGCATTACCCTGAAATGTAAAAAATCAGGAAAAGGCTGTGTGGTCCCCAAAACAATACTAATGCAGGAACAGGTGATACCTTTGGTTTTCCTAAATAATAAACAGTATGTTTTTCTTTTATGCCTACCATCTCCAGACTCACCATTTCCGTTCAATAGATGTCAGCTCGCTGCTAAACCATTGAACTTTTGCCAGCCTAAATACCAAATAATTTAAAAACCCTACACTTTCTAAGCTGCCCCGGTTGCCCTCCAGTGCAATGTTGCCACCAGCATTCTAGTAAAATCCAGCTGCCAATACAATCTGCTTCTGTATCTGGAATTAAAGTGAGGGTGTTATTTTGTCCTTCATTCCAGGAGCCAAATGTCTTGGGCCAGGCCTAATGTTCATACGCTCTACACTACCTTCTTTTATTCTCTTTGCCTCTTTTTTACAATTTGTGACTTCTCTGTTAAAAGAACAACAACAAGTTGAGTTGCCAGGGGTTGGGACTTCAGTTCCCTATTGTACATCCCAGAAGAGTCAGCCTGTGTGGTCTTGGGCAAGCTGCATAGTTCCAGGAGGCACCCAGAAGAAGGAAATGGTAAACATGTAAAACCCTGAAAGAATTGATCTGATGGCATACAGTTATCATTATTATGAAAAAGGAAAGCTAGAAGGTGTAGCAGGTATGCGCAGCCTCCTCAAGGCAGTGATATTTGGGAGAGAGCAGTGGTTTATTTATTATTATTATTATTATTATTATTATTATTATTATTATTATTATTATTGTTGTTGTTGTTGTTGTTGTTGTTGTTGTTGTTGTTGTTGTTGGTGGTGGTGGTGGTGGTCGGTATTACTATTGGTATTGGTATTGGTATTATTGGTATTGTTATTATTGTTGTTGTTGTTGTTGTTGTTGTTTAGAAAGAAACGGAAGGATGTGCTTGTAAATACCTGGCAAAATTCTGCCACCAGCTGAAGAATTCTGAGCTCCTTTTAGAGAGATGAGGCTTTGCAGATTCTGGATGATTGATATCTCAAAAAAAAAAAAGGGTTCTCCTTTAGAGGGCTTTCCAAAACTGACTGGTTGAAATTAAATACAGTACTGGCATTTCTAGTTGGTGAGTCAGTCCCAGGTAGAAGGGAGCTTGCCTCCAGAACAACAAGCCGCTTCCCCCCCCCTTTTCATCTCCTCACAAATCTGACTTTACTAAGGTAGAGGTTAGCCTGCCAGAGATTAGCAAGCCCTCCACATACCTCTGCCATTAAAAAGAGGGGAGGGGTACTTAAATTATTGGCTAGTAGAAGTTCTTTATTGACAAGAGTGCTGTACATTTTAAGGGCTATGCAGGAATATTGTGATCTTGCAGTAACACAGGATTAAGGAGCCTGCACTGGGCACACATCCAGCTACCTTAGAATGACTGTGTTCATTTTTCCCCTTTGAAAAAACTGTCCCTTGTAGTTGCAAAAATGTCTCTGTTATTACTATGGATGTGTCACCAAATTCCACCTCAGGTACCAGCTGGGATAAAAGCATGGAAAGGACAGAAACAGCCTGGTGGATTCTGGAGCAGCTCCCAGAATAACTGGGAAGGAGCCAGGGTTCTGAACTGTGTTGGTGTTTTGGGCTTCCATGCATGTATGCAAAAGGCCTAAGTCTTAAGGGTCAACACCTCTCTTTTTTAAAATTATCTATTTATTTCCCACCTTTTCTCCAAAGACCTTTGGGGAGGGGGCAGAATATGTGACTTTCCTCCTTCTCCATTTTATCCCTACATAACCCTGTGAGGAAGGTCAGGCTCGGAGAAAAGGACTGGGTCAAGGTCACGCAGCAAAGGTCATGGCTGGGGAAAACTTCAACCTTCGTTTCCCAGTTCCCTGCCTCACCACTACACACAGATGGATGGCTATCTTTTAATTTCAAGGGCAAGATCTGGAATTGGGTAACATGTCAGGGAGGACTTCATTGCTTCAAAGGTTTTTTTTAAAAAGAAGATGGCTATCTCTTATTAATATAGGAATGTGACACGGGTCATTTATTTATTAATATATGATTGTTTACTTTTATGTCCTACCTTTGGGGTGAGCTCAAGATGGATTCTCTTTCTCTCGACTTTCAAACTTGCAGGAGTCCTGTGAGCCAGATTAAGCTGAGAGGAGACTGGTGGGACCAATGTCACCCAATGAGTTTTATGACTTAATTGGGAATGGAACCCTGATCTTCCAAGTCACCATCTAACCACTAGACCATCGTCTCTCTTCTGTCTCTAGAACCACCCTCTCTACGAACCCCCCCAGCACAATTCATTTGCGTTGCACTCCTTCCAATTAACCTCATAGCTGCTTCAGCAGTCAGCTCATTGCTTTGTGATTCCTCCCATTTATAGTACTGTACTGTATTTTTCCATGTATAAGATGTCTCCATGTATAAGACGCCCCCCCCCCACTTTTCTAACCTAAAATTAAGAAATGTAATTGGGGCTTAGCAAGTGGAGGGGGAAAGGGATCAAAGTGCTGCACAATCGCTTTGATCCCTGCTTTCTCCTCCACTTGTTTTTGTTCTCTCCTCAGATTACTTCTGTCTATAGGACCACCCTCAATGTTCAGTCTAAAGATTTTAGACAAAAGTATTATCTTATAGACTGAAAAATGTGGTGCTTAGATTATTACCAGTATTTAAAATTCAGGATGTCCTCCACAGGGCTGCTCTTTCCCTTGTGGTAGGAAGAGGGAGTTTAATCATTCTTGTTAAAGTTGTCCAACTTGCGCTTAGCAAATAAAGCTAGACATTTGCATATAACCCCTTTTATACATTATGGCTGAAATCCTGCTGCCTAGCATACACTAGAGGAGGCCCATTGAATCAGTAGGGATTTGGTGAGTCAACTCTTCTCTAAGTTCAATTGATTCAAATAGGCCTGTTTCAGTTGCAACTTACTATGCTAAGCAACAGTCAGAAAAGCAGAGAAAATAAAAGTACTTAAAACAATTTGTCTGATATTGAGTTACAGGGTAAATGTATCCACCTAATCAGCTGGAGAAGAGATAAAGCAGGAAGAGAGGACAGGACTGATGAGGACAGAAGGAGCTGCTAAAAATGATGCTATTGATCTTTGTAGTGGTACAAGATATTGCAGCAAGGTTAAAATCTATGTTATAATGATTCCATTTTGTTTTATTCTCTAAACACTGAAATGGTTACCTCAGGTCCTTTGTGAGAGGAAGGACAAGGTATTTGGTGACTTGTATGCCACATGCTCCTATAAGGGCTGGGGTCTTATTGGTACAGATTGATCCCAAGGCCTGCTGTTCCCTGACATGCCCCCTGATGTGGTGGAGGGGCGTATGCCAGTACTGGAACTGCTCTTCCTATTTTCTCTCCCATTGGTGGCAATAAGAGGGATTAAACAATGATGATGGAGGACTAGGAAGAGAATGGGAAGGAAAACTGAAAAACTGCTAGTCCACTTTCCACTCTTGGTGGTTTTCTCCATCATGGATTCTGTTTTGCAGAATGGTTTCAGAACCTTGGATACCTCCTATAAAGTTACCCTAAAACCTGGAGCGCATCCCATTGTCCCAAAAGCAATGCCACCAGCCTCCCCCACCGCCATAGGATTTATTTCTCGATCCAGGAAGGCAGAAGAGATGAATTGCAGCTCTAGTGCACCAGTGTAAGCATTTGCACATAAACAGTCACTAGAACACCCTCTAGTGCACGGGTCTCAAACTCAATTTACCTGGAGGCCGCTGGAGGCAGAGTCTGGGTGAGGCTGGGCCGCATCAGATTTTCCACAAGAGAAGCTTTGTTAAAGCTTTTTGTGTCTGAACAGGGAGGCTCTGTCCGCTGACTGGCCATCATTTATCCTCCCTCCTCCTCCTCCTCATCTTCTTGTCCCAAGCACCCTCTGGTGAGAGCTCTCCCTGCAGCAGGATAAATGGGGTTGAGCCAAGGAAGCGGCTCTGTTGCCCACTCAGGACGACCCGCAGCTGCCGATGCAGGAGCTGCTTCCTTTGCACCCTTTTGCTGCGGAAGGGGCGCCAGGGTGACCAGCCTCTCCAGTGGATCAGGCCAGCTTGCCGAGGGAAAATGTGCCAAAAGCCATTCGCCACAGTCAGCGGACAGAGCCTCCCTGTTCAGACACACTATATCTGGGCGAGCATTCAAAAGCCAAGGACAGAGGCAAGGCAGAAGAGATTTGGCGCCACCTTGGCAAGCTTGGTGTCGGCCCGGCTTGTGTGTTGCTTGCCTGACCGTGAGCAGAAACAGGAAAAGGGGGTGGGATGGAAGAGCACAAGTCCTCCTTCTTGCAGGGAATTTGCTTTCTTAAGGGTTCCCACCTGCATGTTTTGAGACAGAAGTAAAATGAGGGCAGCGAACAAGCAACAATGACAATCCTGAGAGAGCAAGATTTCCCCCTGTGGTCTGCTCTTGCCCATGTGTTATAGTTTTCCATATAAGAAGTGTGCCCTCTTTAGACGCAGGTTGGGGACAATGGAGGGATGCTGCAGGAAGACAAGGCACCCCAGTTCCGTGGAGGGGGTGGCAGTAAACCATCGAGATTTAAATGCCCCCAGATTCACACATACACACACACACACACCTAGCAGCTGCACGCGCCCCTTCTGCAAGGCTGGCCCCATCAGCAGAGTAATCTCTCCCCCGCACCCAAGGGCTAATGGGGCTTCCTGGGGCTTCTTGACTCCCACTCTGGCAAGATGACATGGTCTTGCCCAGTGTGGCTCTGTGAGACCAGGGAAGAGGAGCGTGTGTGAGAAGGCTGTTCTCTCGAGACCAGGGAAGAGGAGCGCGTGTGAGAAGGCTGTTCTCTTGGCAGCACCCCCTCCCGTGGCACGTCTGGGCAGGGAGCGGAGGAGCACCAAGCGGGAGGGAGAAGAAGCGCAAAGAGGACGAGGTGACAGCAGCAGCCTCTCCAGGAGGAGAAGCGCAGGAAGGACGAGGTGACAGCAGCAGCCTCTCCAGGTGACCCGCAAAGAGTGGAGGGGGGGAGAGAGAGGCCTAAAAGCAGAAGCCTGGTGGCGCCAAACCCCTGAGGAAGAAAACTGCCAGGTAGGGAGAGGGCTCCAAGTAGGTGCTGCTGCTGCTGCTGCTTCCACTCCTTAAACGTTCATATTAAGGCAGGGGGCATAAACTATCTTCCCGTGGCCTGCAATTGGCCCCCGGGCCCCAAGTTTGAGACCCTTGCTCTAATGGAAATATCCTGGTCCTTTCGACCTGCTGCAGGGGGTGAGATGCATTTTGAACTGTTGATCAGATTTTTCTCGGGCAACCATTTCAATATTTGTTTGCTTTTTAATTTTTAGCCAAAACAACAAATGTCCTCTGGACTCTTGAAGCCATGTAAGGCAGTTGGCCCAAAGAAGGCTTGGGTGTTGTGCTGATGTAGCTGGGCATTGGAAGTGACCCTTAGAGTGAGAGCATGCAAGGGTGTCACAGACCTTTGCATGTCTTCATTTCCGTTGGTGGGCTCACAAAGTTTGAATGCACACATGCAGGAGCTGTTAAACTATCACGCAGACGATTTGCAGAAGAAAGGGCTTGCTTGGAAAACTTTCTTTATCTGGATTCCAAATCCTAGAATCACTCGGCCAGCATGGCTATGCAATGAAAGATATCCAGAGCATGTGGGAAGTCCTTTTCTAGTCACCAGCTCCTAGAATTTAGACTTTCTAGATTCCATCTCCTGTCACCCTGCAAGTATAGAGGCCAGGTTGCTTACTCTCCTAGTGGAGTGATTCTGTAAGTTAGAAACTTAAAAAGGAAAAAAAACTGGCTGTTAGTGTAAAAAAAAGGGGGGGTTATTTTGCAGATTCTTAGTTTAGTTACCTTGACTGTTTCTAGTGCAAAAATGAAATTATTCACTGCTTTCAAAATTTTTGGTAATTCCAACTCATTCCTTTCGAACAGAGGTGGCTTAATATTGTGTTATCTTAGACAAGGGGAAATGTTGCTGCTACCTCCGCTGTAGCTTCAGGGAACATAAGGTTAATTTTAATCATTACCAGTGAATTTCCTTTATGCCTAAATGCCCTTTAGTGAAATTCCATTTTTAAGGAAAGAGGATTTTTTAAAATCCTATTGAAATAAGTCAATATATATATATGCAATATATATATATAAACATGTTAAGACCATATAGAAATATTCTGACACTCTCTTCCCCATGAGACTATGAGCATAGCTCTTTGTCTTTTTACATTCTAAACCTTCTCTGCTAGATCACAAAGATATGCACACGGAAGCTCCAATTAACTGAACAATATACACTTCTTAACCTCTTAGCTTATTCAGCATGGGAGAGGTTATGCCTCCATGCCAGAAGACGTGCTTTGCCTCCTATATTAAATCCTCAGCATTCCCAAGTGCTATAACTAGGAAATAGGGCTGACCCTGCCATTAGATCAGGGATGTGCAAAGATGTTGCTGGAGTGGTGCTCCCAGCATTTCTCACCAGCTAAGGGACCTGCAATCCAACAACTTAGATTGGAAGGGCCCATTTTGACTATTAGATACACTGTGGTGGTGACCTCAGGCGGCCAGCACTGTGAGTTGGCTACAAGGTCTTGGAAAAGAGAGCTGAGTGCCAAGCCATATGAGCTGCTCTCTTAGCCCTACAGCTACCTTCTGCCTTCAGATACAGTGGCAGAATTCTACCCCATTGCCGGTGTAAGATACAACCGCCCAGTTCAGCTGGCTTCTGGACATGAAATGGACGTGACCACCATCATCTCCTTTGCCTCCAGCAACAGAGGTCATTTTGAGGGTATAGTATCACACTTCTGGGTTGCAGCAGGGCCGATGAGGTTCTTCAAGGACCTTTGTCTTGGAATTCTGAAGTGAAGTCTCTGTCAGGGTTTCTGGTTTGAGGGTATGTGCTTGGTAACCCACTTTTCATTGCTTTATTATTGACTTTTGTCTCTTTGGGGCTGCATCACCAGAGCTTTGAATTGCAGTGTCACAGTTGGTAAAAACTCTACGTAGAGTCAAACTGATAATATGCTAATTGTTATAACAAGCAGTTAGTAGTGTGCCCACTGTTGAGGAAACAGTGGGATTAGAAAATGTGACAAGTGTAAAGTGGGAGCTCAGTTTTCATCCAGGCCCTTCTTGTGCATATGGTGTATCCACCGTCAAAGAAGGATGGAATTAAAGCATCTTCCTTGAGTACAACTGAATGCCCTCCCATCAAGCAGAGCATTGCCATCTACTTCATAAAGTGTTCCAATGAGATACTCCAAGTCAATTCCTTGCCATCATCATTTGGAACAAGGCTGCTTTTGAGACTGGGGATGTGACATCCCAGGAAACCGCAGAACCCACCTTTCCAATAGACTGGGCACTTACACATTGTCCTAACAGAGGACACAAGTTTGTAGGAGTATAGGTTAAATGGGAAATAAAGCACAGAATGTGAGATACTGTGTCCAAATGACCATGATGTCCTGCTGAGTCTGCTATTCAGGTGTTCCTGGACAGTGAGCAACTTTAAGCCACCACCACTGCTTTCTTGGCTTGTTATGATTCTTTAAACCAGGATTGGACTTGAAATCCTTTAAAACTAGAGATGAAGAAAAACTGAGGATTACTCTCTGGCAACCCATCAAAGAGAAGACTGGCATCTCTAAATAAGGGCATACAACCACTGTTACTGTCCAGTCAAGGTATGATGAAACACTTCTCTCCTCCTCTAGCTAGGGCAGGAATCCCGTATGTCACTCATTTGTCTTCGACCCTCAAGGATCCTCTTCCTTGAGCGCCCTTGAGTGCCAATTGTGATGGATGGTTACTGTCTTCCTATTATTTATCTTTCCCAAAGCCTGTAGTGCCAGAGTCTTCTTGGGCTTCTCATCCATTATAACCCAGAGACTGTCTGGTTGATGCACTCTTCACCTGCAATTTGCTGTATGCTTGTGAGATTGACACAGCAAACGAGGGACCAGCAAATAGGAAGATACACAAACAAAACAAACAATGACCAGGGTGTTAATTGCATGGCAGGATCAGAAAGAGAGAGGGACTGTTAACAAGCTTCTTAGCATTGGGTAGGAGAGCGCAGGCAGGAGATCCAGTTTCAGACTCTGGTCTTTGTGGGTGTCTCTTTGTAGGCTATCATGTGTAGCTAGTTACAAGTAAA